AATTTTATGAAATGGTCCAAGAGTAGGGATAACTTCTTTTATTGACCACTACTGGCTGTTTTTGCACTTCAACTATTGTCTGAGATTAAGAAATCTTGCGCTAATCTAAATAAGCACAGACTATGATTGGTCCTTTATGAGATTTATGGAGTCACTTGTGCAATTAAATTGGAACATTGTCTCTCAATTTTTCATTAATCGGGTGTTGAGAGTTTTAAGTTTAGTTCTGATGTTTGCTAAGTAGAATAATTATTTGTTGGATAAGGGAAGCACTATAGAACAGATGCGTAATATTAATGTAATTCATAATTATTTTGCTGTTCATACTTTTCAACAACTACATGTTTTCAAATTATATTATTTTCAGATGAATAATTCTATGGTCGCCATGATGTGAATAGTTTGAAAGTGGAAAAACGTACCTTAATGGTTGTACTTAGGTCACAAAACAAATTAATTTAAAATAAGAACTGTTGTTGAGCTAAGGTTGCAGGGAAATTTTCTAGGAATGAATTTCATTAAAGGTATGGTGACGTGTATTGAAGACAATGATGGCTATCCCAGAAACTCTTCTTCCAAGACAGTCCAACTTCAGGTAGCGGATAACATTCAGGCTAACCCTCAACTACCAGTTTTACTAATTTTCTTTGTTATGTATCTACTATTCCATGATATTATAAGAACAAAATGAAATTGAGGATCACTTGGAATAGTGCAAATGCCAACCATGATTCAGAAAGCGTAAAGGGAGACAATTTTATTACCGTTCTCAATACAGCATTTCTTTGCTCGGGGAAAGGAGTGTCTCTGGATGGGAAACTTGTACTTGGGTTTCTTTACAGGCCTCCTTGTGTTAGAATGACAGCTTACATTGATGCCTTGCCTTTTGAGTGTTGATGGACTTCTATTTAATATTGTATTTAGGAATCTGTCAGTAACTCGACAGTTTGAACTAGTGTTCAACATTTAAAATAGATTTTATGCAAGATATTTTGACATTTTGTCCCTTTTTAGAGATACTGATATCTAGGAGGTTATCTTCCTACATTGAAATTATTGGGGAAATCATAGGTTTAATTCATTCGGAACATTTGAAGTATTTAATAGAAAATTAATCCATTTGCATACAAATTAAAATGTTCACAAAAACTATTAATGATTAAAGTGTTCTTATTTAAAATTAAAAAAGGGGTATACCTCAGACTTCATGTTGAACTTTGGCATCACGTAATTTCACAATCACTTTAGATTCCCTGACAAGAAATGCTGCATAAATAGGAGGTTTGTTGGATTGTGTCTCGCTATTATTTAATTATTTTTATTCAATATGACAAAGGCATGGTGTGAATCCCAGCATTCAGAGTAGTTATTTGTTTGTTAATAACATAAAATAATAGTTTGCATTTTAGTAGAGAAAAAAAAATCATGTTTTTAATGTCTTTCGTCATTGTGCAATGGTACCCTTCAATATTTTTTGAAGACTAAATGTTAAATTGTACAACCAAGGTCAAGTGGTACTTTAAAGAGATAAGAAGAGGGATACGCCTTTGCTTTAAAAATTAAATTTGAGCAATTCTAAAACACCTTCCAGGCATTGATATTATTTCTCATAGATTGTTGCACCAAGGTAATTTTTGAAGTCTTTTCAAAAGAAGTTTGCTTGTTTATTTTTTGCTTTTTTAACCAACCATCTATTGTGTTTTTAAATTAATTTATAAATATTTTTGTGAATTTGTGATTAGCCTTACAAATTCAAATGCTAATGCCTTTTTTGATTTTCTAAAGAAATCACATCCAAAGTTGTTAAGAATTCAAAAATGCATGTTATTCATAAAATAGACATCTTCTTCTAGTTCTTCATTCTATTAATTGTGTGAAATGTTTGTGCCTCTACTTTTGTTGAAGTGTTCTTTTTTTATTTTTTAAATTTATTTAAATATCTTTTGTTTGTATTATGTATATATTTTGTTCTCTTACATTTCAACTCGCAGCTTCTCTCATCACTGTTTCACACTACAGAATTGTACACTAGCCGTCCCCTCATAATCACTATATCACATCTAAAATACTCACCACATCTGTGAATTGCAGCTTAATAGCTAAAGCTGTAGTACAAAGATTAACAATTTAATACATAATAGGCATATTGTTGTTTTCAATTCTTCATTTTTGTTTTTGTTCCACCACTTCTTACACAAGTATACTCATCTTACACATTTGAACATGTATGAGCTGGAAAACAATTAATGTAATATTTCATCATCCAAAGTGACTATCAAAAATTTCATCATGTAGTTAAATATAAATCATTTGCAAAAGAGAAGTGGTTTTAAGACCAAATAAATAAACTCCGGAAAATGATGTCAATCCTCTTTTAAACAAAGATTGTTGGGATGCAATAAAAGTAGCTGGAATTGAAATTAAGTGTGATTTTGATTGAAGGTGACAACTCTTGATGCAAGACAGGTTATCACAGGAGAAGTTGTTGTGTCAGTTGAGTTTCTCCTGTAACCCTCGAGCAGTTATTTTGGTGCACTAAGTGAGCTTGTAAAATATGAAACTATTTGAACTTGAACAGCTTCAGATGAGAACTATACAGTCATGACAACCGTACAGCTATACGTAGTTTGGCTTCAATTAAAGTAGTGCATTTTTTGTGTGTGAAGTGAGAAAGGATTGAGTAAATCTAGTATCTTTCAACAGATATGAATGTTACATGGTCAGTAATTTGTTTCTTGGATTTGCTGCTTTATTTTTAATAAATAGTATTTATTGGTTTTGAGCCAGCCATAATTGAGTACATAATTTTTCTTTCATTGTGACATTCTATACAATGTCTTTCTTAATGGGTATAGCAGGCATCGGTGGTGAAGTTACATACTCTGGATGAAGAGGATTTGCAGCACTAAAGAACAATTACTCATAAAAGAATTGATGTCATTTCTCAAGGAGCCTGCACTTCATAAGAAGTCAGAATTCCTACATCACCTCATATTTCAAAAGTCAATTGTTCAGAAATTTGATGTCTTTGGAGATGCACTAAACAAGAGCAAGATCATAGCACAAAAACTTGATGCTGTATGTTAGTGACTATTAACAAGGATTATACATGTAAATCTCTGTTAAATGTTTACAATAAAAATGTTATTCAATCTGTAAAGATTTCTTATTAAATAGTTTGGGTTAAAATAATAGATTGTCTTATCTTGAAATTATATTTTTAGTGCTCTAACTTATTGATATTAGTGCAATGGAGAGAGGTGCATCTGCTCGAGGGTTTTAGCTTACTTTTCGAAATAATTAACCATGTAACTATACATCCTTCATTCCGTTCCACTATCATTTTGATATAGTTGAATAATCACAAACTTTAATTTGTAATTATCTTGTGCAAAGATGGTTTGATTAAGGTTGAGATCTGCTTGACAATTATGAAAATTTGCTAATAAGTTAGTCCAAAATTCAATAAAACGCCATTTATCTTCATACGGGAAATAAGTAATTTTTGGTAGAATAATAGATATGAAGTTACTTGAAAATTAATTTGATGCTGAAAGAGCCATGCTCTTTAATTGTATGGTTTTTGTGCTGTACTTTTTTGTTAGCATCTCTTCATAAATGATTACTTTCTTGTATATGTATAAATGAGAAAGTTAAGTAATTCTATCAAATGTTAACATTGTCAGGTTTTTTGGGGACCCTGATATAGTTTTGTTTGTTTACTTTGCCCAATGCCATTTTCTTTTCAAAGTTAATTTTCAAATATTCCACATATGTAATTTCTTTTACATCTTGTTCATTCTTAATATTTATTAATTAAATTATGGATAGTTTGTTTGCTGACAAAAGCAACTTTTTCAAAAACACAAAAACAAAATGTTCTCAAAAGCCTTTCCAAATTTTTTTTGTAGAAATTATCTATGAAATGTCTTGCTCATTCCAATAGAACTGGTAAAAGTCTAAAACAAAATTAAGAAAATGCAGGGGGGGACATCAAGTTTTTCAATCAAATTCGTTTAAAATTGTGATATTTCTGTGTTGGAAACTAAATCTTGTAAATTGAAATTATCCTTAATTATCACAATCTGGAAAACAATTTGTGTAGTTTGCACTGACACAAACAGGATTTTTTGATGAGGTAGTTGAGGTAAAGAGGTAGTGTCCAAGATGACTTCATATTTTTTCTAAAGAAATTTTTGTTTAATTTGAAGCTGGTGGGCTTCCCCTTTGGAGTGCCTCTGATACTTTGTGACTATTAGAGAAAATACTTATTTTGGGATGTGTGAGCTAAAGTAAATAAATACAAAGATCTTAGAGCATTATTACAATAAAAACTAATTCTGTTGGACATTGCACAGGTGTAATAATAAACTATTGCTTGCTGCTCTTATATTTCAAAAGGTAAATTTTCTTTGTATTGTGGGTCTTTGAGGTTAGGATATGAGCAAGGTGAACTGTCATTGAAGCAGGTGGGAGAAAAGAGTTTGCCAGTTGAAGTTTAAGTAATATACTAAAGGTAGAATAATTATTATATTGTGTAACAAATGCAAATGGTGTGCACAAGTATTGTGGTAAAAATTTCTTTTCTTAATTTAAATTTTATTGTTTTCTTTTACTGAATTTCAATAAATTCGTGGCAGGGTAAGAATTTTCATTCATTTATTATTTTATTTTATTTTATTTTGTAATGTACTCTTTAAAGTTTTGGAGATTTTTAACATTTTGCGTTTCCATACTCTGTGTTCACAACTCCGTCAAGAAAGGGGAAGTAGAATCAAGTAGATTACTTGTTATGAATGCTACTTATTCAAAATGCTCTTATTAGCCTGTAAAACATTTTTACTATTACTCATATTTAATGCTGTATGGAAACAATGATAAAAATGCAAGGTTTAAATTTACCTTTTTTCTTTTCATGCCCAATTTCACAATTTTCATTAGGAGAAAGATATGAAATAGCTTAGGGAAATTGAACATACTTTTTATGAAACTATTTTCTGACTTGCAGTTGAGACTTGTCTTGCATCTGTGATTGTCGTATTGAGCATGATGGTTTCATATTTAATTATGTGAATTTCAAAGTGCATAGTAACCTTATGTCAGTTGTGTATGTTTGTGTTTCAGAATATTTCACTTAGTGATTTATAAGTACAAAGATTTTTATTCAAATAATATAATTAACCTATTATGTAACTATCCTATTTTGGTGATAGGGTAAAATCATTATTTATCCTTGCATAGGGATGGTGCTGCTCACGATTCTTTCCTTGTCTTAATTATCTACTCAGTGCATTTGATAAATTTGAATTGTCAAGCTTTTGATTTTGGCTGTATTGTTTCAGTAGTTGCAAAGCCCTAATTGTTATGTTTCTAAATGAAATTGATGTAAATTTCAGACAGCTCAAAAACTCACCATCTTCTGATGTTTTTGTATTTTGTTTTAAATCGCCATCAAGTTAGGCAACTAGGCGTACTTGTTACATTAAGGTTACTGTTCTCAAAGGTTAGTCAATATAGGACCTGTTTTCACTGCCCAACGAACAAATATTGAAACTTTTAATGAAAATCTGATATCAGAGGGATTCTTAAACTTTGTAAATGGTACTTTTTGCTTAAATTAGTTCTGCTTTCTTTTTAATCTGAAACCTTGTTGCATGTGACCTGTAGACATCTTATAGTTGGTCAATAACAATTTTTCTTTCATAGGTTTTCTATGCAATAGAAAGCGAAGGGCCAGTTACATAATATTCACTTATCTTGTTAGTATTAAGTATTTAACAACCATTTAAAGGAAGAACAAAGCTCTAAAACTTACTACAGAAGTTCCATTTAATTTGTGCCTCTTGTTTCATCTTTCTTAATAAAAATCTTTCCAGAGATAAAGATTTTTGAAAAATCTTGTAATTTGTTAAAAAATATTTACATATATTTTGCTTTCACATGATAAAAATTATTTTGGAATCTGAATTAAAAAGTTGTTTTAGATAACTATTCATTCAGTTTAGTGGAGTTACTTTTTCAGATCACTTTTTGCTCGTCATCATTATGGCACATGATATTGATTATTTTATTTTTATTTTTAAATTATTTTCCACTATATCATGGATTCCATTTTAGAATTGTAGCCATGTTTGCAAAAATTTTGGGCTTCTCATTACTATGAATATTATTCAGGGTAATGTAATCATTTTACAGTAAAAATTAAACTATTAATGTATTGCCACAGAATTTTATTTAATACTGTTTTTTGCAAAATGTACTTTTCAAGAAACTGTAAAATGTAGTAATGAATCACAGAAAAGAAAACATACTTCTTTAACATATTTTTTAATATCTAAGAAAATTTAGCTAAATAACAAATTGTGGAACTTGGTAGCATTGATTTCACAACTCCAAAAATAGTTATAAAAATCTATAATATTAATTATTACAGTGTGTATTACAACTTATTACAGTCTTCAATAACAAGTTGGGCAATGTGCTCTCTACAAATGAATTGACATTGTTCTTCTTGTGCTATGAAATTACTTTTGCTTTTCCTCTAACAGTTTTAGACTCATAACAATTGATTTGGGGAAATTATTTTTTACTTGAATTTCAAAGAGTTTAATTATGAATTAGTGGGTAGAGGAAACCCTTGCTTTTTTAAGTGCTAGTCATACGGTTAAAGTGGATATTATTGATAATGACCGTGGCTATTGTTAGATTGGATTTAGTAAACAAATTTTATCCGTTATTATTTTTCATTCTTGTTCTTTACATTGGTGCTTTTAAAATGAAAAAGGTGTAGATCGTGAACCTTCAATCAAATTTATTTCCCTATTGATTCTAATTGCTAATTTCCATGCCACTCAGCTCTTATGTTTGTTTTCTCAACATACTGTGTAAACAAAACACCTCAATGTACTGGGAGAAAATATTTGTGATGTACAGTGTTTTCTCCATTTATTATCAATGAAGCCCTAACAATTTGCTTACCAATCCAGGCCTTTGTATGGAGGGTGGGGTCCCTTTTATCAAGCTAAATGTACAATTAAGATTCATACTTTTCATGAAGCAAATCCATCTTTTAAGCACAATCAGCTCTCTAATTCTACTTGTTTCACATTATTAAGGGACATCATTTGTAATCAGTTGTAAACTGTTCTGATACGTTTTTGTAGTTACCTGGGAAAAATATATTTTAGCCCTGTTTAGTTTCATGACGGTATTCGTTTTGTGACACTGAAAACTTGGTACTCCCTCCTGTTTTCAAAAATGTATGAAATAATGTGTAAATCTTGCTTGGAAAGGTAGATTAAATGGACAGCATTGTGCATTAACAGACCAATTTCTGAAGGGGAAAAAACTGTCTAATGTGTTAGAATAATTGAGACCATTTCAAAATATTAGAACTTTTACATGTTAAATAGTATTAATGTTTTAAGAAGTTAAAAGCACCATATAGCATAAAAATGCAAAAGGTTATTTAACTTCAAATTTTTAGTACAAAGTAGAAAATGCCATTTGATGCGTAAATCCTTCCAAATAAGTTTTAGATGTGTCTTTACATAATCATTCTGTAAATATTTAATTTTAACTTACCTCAAAATTTCACATGTCAATCCAACTCATAATAAGTGCTATAAATGATTGAATGTGCCAAATTTAATTTTTTCCTGCTTCCCTGTTTTATGAAAACTCTCAAAAATGTTACAGACCTATCATAAGAGTAACCAGAAGTTACTCATGTACTCAAGTACTTTTAATTTCTTGCAGATTTCAGATTTAACAATTGTTGAATACAAACTTACAACCACTGATGACCATTTCACATTCCTTAGGAGTTCATTATAAACAATATACACAGTATTTGATCCTCTTTAAAGTGATATCTTAAAGTAATATTGAAGATTGTAGTTATTTTGTTGTTTTCATTAATGATTGTGTTAACAGCAAACAGATTTCTCTTGTGAGAAATTGCTGACCTTGTTGAAATACCGGTTTGAGAATATGTATTCTGTATAGGTTATTCTGGAGGGTTATCATTGAAAATTAATCTCAACATATTTCAGTATGTCCTTGTTCCTGTCATAGTTACCATTTTATTTCCGTAAAAGAGGAATATCTTTGTACAGTGTATTGATCCACACTAACGTATACAACATATTTTTTTAAACGAAATTGCATTATGTGTGCCCTCGAAACAAAATAAACTGAAGGGGAAATGTCAGACATGAAATACATGTACTTAGAATTTGCATTTGTAACTAATTTCCTGAGACTTATTTTACTGGGCTACTCACAAAACTTTTTTTTTAGATATTTAGCCTTTCAGAAGCTAGTTATTTTAAAGACTGTTCCTTATATTTAAGTAAAGTAATGTCTTGATTTTTTTAAATATTATTATTATTATTATTGATAAGAGGTGGATTATACCATATTAACAAATGTTTCCAAAGGCAGTGTTGTACAAATTAAATCCGTGAGGTTGCTGATTTATTAAATTGCTAATGCAACTTGAACATTATTGCGATTTGTTGGGTTTTTATTGATTTTATTTTTATTTTAAATTTTACCTGAAAGTTGCTTATAATATTTCAGGGTAGCTGTTATTTTTAGAATAATAAGTATTCTTTGTTTGTGAATTGGATAAAGATAGTAAAATGAAAGATTTATAAAATTAAGATAGTAGTAATGGTTTTAAGAAGTTTCATCAGGCTAGGCAGGGATGGGTTAATACATAAGTTAGGGTGGCCATTTTCTGAGAAACATGGAAAACCAGGAAAAATCAGGGAATTTCATTGTTCTGGAAAAGTCTGAGTTTGTAAAAGAATCGTTGGAAGTCAGGAAAAATTACATGGCGGCTTTCTTTCTCGACTTTTATTTGTTGAAAAAATATTGTTAATTTGGACTTACTTGTGGCAAAATCAGTGAGCTGAGAAATTAGTATCAGGCAGGCTTTCATATTTTCTTTAAAAAGTGGGATATTAGAAAACTTAGCAGAAAAATATGTAAAAAAAGAAAATCCTTTGGAAAAAACATGAATGTCTGAGAAATTGCCCAGAATACCCAGGAAATAAGTGGCCACTCTGTAAGGAGACTAAACTTGTGCTTAGAACATATAGTTGGTAGCCACAACATTTTTTTTTTAATTGGAAAGGTTGTAGTTTATTTTTATGTTAATTTTGTATAAATATCTTCAACATTTCAGTTATTTTGGAGCCTTATAGTGGGCTTAGGGTCCCCAATGAAATTAATCCTAGCTCTGAGGTTAGGAATTCATTCTGCATTATGAAAAATATTGTTCATCAAATTAACTCCAAAAAGTAGGAAAATATTTAGAAATGAAACTTTTTCTTTCAAATATTTCATCAGATATTGTTCACTTGTCACAGCTCAATGTCCTGTTTCACTTTTAATTGAGATTACATACATGACACCATCATTAATACAACCATCGAATGCCAAATATCCATGATATCAAAAGAATGAAGGTTTCTCCATATTCAAAATTAAAACCTATGGAAATATTTCAAATGGAGTTCTTTGGTTTTGCTTTTCTTGTAATTTCTTTACTTCACACTATAAAGAAGGTTGTTGTTTATCTGCAGCTAAGCTAAGGATATTGTAATGTAAATAAACAAGATTATGATTGTAAAAAATTGTATGGAGATAAATTACTCAAATTTTTTTGATGTGCAGTTAAAGAAACATGTTTTTACATTGAAAACGAGTTGTTTTATTACTAAATTGTTGTGAACAATAGAGTGAGGTGAAATTAGCATTAGATAATTATTCCAAGCATCACCAATGCTATAAGAAAATAAATCTTCTGGGAAAACTTGTTGGTTAATTTCATTATGGGTGAGCTGTATGAAGAAGAAAGCAGTTTTAAGATAGTGGAAACAAAATGTTTTGAGTAACTCAATCTTGCTTCTTGCTACATAAATAATATTGAGAAAGAGAAAATAGGTTTATTACTAACCTTATTGTTTCAAGTTTGAATGCATGTTGTCAACAGCAATGAGATGTTCACATGCATCTTTGCTGTGAATTTTAACTGGCACTGTTGTTTTTGTATTGCTAATTAATCCACATGCTGTTCAATAGTTTGTGGATGTGAAGTAGATGTAATGAAACTGTAACTATTTTAAATTGTTTCACAGTATATTATTTAAACAGGAATTTGATTTTTATTTATTTTTTTAGAAAACAAATTTTGTATTCTGTGATTATCTTCTCCTTAAGAGGAGACAGGGAACAAAAGGAAAAAAACTGATAAAATTGCATGATTTACTCCAGGCTTGTGTTTGTGGTAATGGTAAACAGAGATGGTTGATGGTTGTGTTGATGGACTTATATTGATGGGAACTCAATCGCTGTTCTGATGATTGGTTCTCCTGAGGACAGTGGTGATAAAAAGGATGTGGATGGTGCTCATTACGGCCTGTGGATGATATGGTTTGGAAAAATGAAGAATCTGTGGCAGGTTTGGTGATGAGTGATGGTATCTTGGCCAGTACTTTGTCAGTGCTTTGGCAGATTGCTTGATGAGAATGGTAATGATCCTACCTGGTTGATGCAAAGTGTCATTGGTATGTATCCAGCTGTGACATTAAAAAGACATTTCATTGTAGATTATTGCCAGAGTAATTATATTTTGTTACATTTTTGAAGGCAAGTACTTGTAAACAAGTATTAGTTAATATTTTATATTTATTTTACATCATGTGACTTCATGATGTTGTTCCTCTACTGGTTGAAATCGATAAAAATGAGTAGTTGTACAGCTTCAAGAAGTGTCCTGAGATTTGTTTATTTAAAAAATTATCTGAATGCTTCATATATATAGTACATTTTGATCTTTTTATTTTTCACTTTCCATCATATATTGTTTCCATTTCTTCATAATTGTATTACACCACATATATACACACTTGCTTCATCGGTTTTTCTCCTTTTTGTGACATAAAATTCCAAGAATTTGAGCTGTTTGCAGTGCAGCCTTTCAGCAACTCATAGATTCTTAGAGAAGTTCACTAAATGTATAGATTACCTTGTGAAAGATTCTAATTAACAAAAAGAAATTTAATGGTGTTTGAGAACATTCCCTTCTTTCTCTCTCTCTACCTCCAACCCTTCTCCTTCCTCTTTCTCCTCGCTCTCCTCCTCTTTCTTCTCGTCTCCTCCTCTTTCTCTCGCTCTCCTCTCTTTCTCTCGCTCTCCCTCTTCTTCTCTCGCCTCTCTCTCTTTCTCTCGCTTTCCTCTCTTTCTCTCGCTTTCCTCCTCTTTCTCCTCGTCCTCTCTCGCTCCCTCTTTCTCTCGCTCTCCTCCTCTTTTCTCCCGCTTTCTCCCTCTTTCTCTCGCTTTCTCTCTTTCTTTTCATCTGCTTCCTCCTCTTTCTCTCGCTTCCTCTCTTTTCTCGCTCTCTCGCTCCTCTTCTCTCGCTTCTCCTCCTCTTTCTCTCGCTCTCTCTCTCTTTTCTCTCGCTCTCTCCCTCCTCTTTCTCTCGCTTTCCCTCCTCTTTCTCTCGCTTTCCTCTCCTCGGTTCTCTCGCTTCTCCTCTCCTCTTTCTCTCGCTTCCTCCTCTCCTCTTTCCTTCTTCCTCCTGCCTTCTCCTCTTTCTCTCGCTCTTCTCTCCTCTTTCTCTCGCTCATCTCCTCTCTTCTTCTCTCGCTTTCCTCTTCCTCTTTCTCTCGCTCCTCTTCTCTCGCTTCCTCCTCTTTCTCTCGTTCCCTCTTTCCTCCTCCTCCTCTTTCTCTCGCTTTCTCCTCTCTCTTCTCTCGCCTTTCATCCTTTATGCCTCTCCTTTCCTCGCTCTCTCTGCTTCCTCTTTCTCTCGCTTCCTCCTCTTCCTTTCTCTCGCTCTCTCCTCCTCTTTTCTCATCGCTCTTCCCTCCTCTTTCCTCTCGCTCTCTCCTCCTCTTTTCTCTCGCTTCTACTCTTTCTCCTTCTCCTCTTTCTCCATCGCTTTCCTCCTCTTCTCTTCTTCTCGCTCTCTTCCTCTCCTCTTTTCTCTCGCTGCTCTCCTCTCCTCTTTCTCTCGCTCGCTCTCTCTCCTCTTTCTCTCGCTCCTCTCTCTCTCCTCCTCTTTCTCTCCGCTCTCTCTTCTTCTCTCTTTCTCTGCTCGCTCTCCTCTCTCTCTCTCTCGCTCCTCTTTCTCTCGACTCTCTCTCTTTCTCTCTCTCCTCTCTTTCTCTCCTGGTCTCTTCTCTTCTCTCCTCTTTCTCTCGCTCCTCTCTCTCTCCTCTTTCTCTCGCCTCTCTCTCTCTCTCTCCTCTTTCTCTCGCTCGCTCTCTCTCCTCCTCTTTCTCTCGGCTCTCTCTCTCTCTCTCTTTCTCTCGCTCTCCTCTCTCTCCTCTTTCTCTCGCTCTCTCTCTCTCTCTCTCCTCGTTCTCTCGCTCTCTCTCGTCTCTTCTCTCCTCTTTTCTCTCGCTCTCTCTCTCTCTCTCCTCTTTCTCTCGGCTCTCTCTCTCGCTCTCCTCTTTCTCTCCTCTCCTTCTCTCTCTCCTCTTTCTCTCGCTCGCTCTCTCTCTCCTCTTTCTCTCGCTCGCCTCTCTCTCTTCTCTCCTCTTTCTTCTTCGCCTCGCTCGCTCTCTCTGTCCTCTTTCTCTCGCTCGCTCTCTCTCTCTCCTCTTTCTCTCGCTCGCTCTCTCCTCTCTCCTCTTTCTCTCGCTCGCTCTCTCTTCTCTCTCCTCTTTCTCTCGCTCGCTTCTCTCTTCTTCCTCTTTCTCTCGCTCGCTCTCTCTCTCTCTCCCTTTCTTCTCGCTCGCTCTCTCTCTCTCTCTCCTCTTTCTCTCGCTCGCTCTCTCTCTCTCTCTCCTCTTTCTCCGCTCGCTCTCCTCTCTCTCCTCTTTCTCTGCGCTCGCTCTCTCTCTCTCTCTCCTCTTTCTGCTCGCTCGCTCTCTCCTCTCTCTCTCCTCTTTCTCTCGCTCGCTCTCTCTCTCTCTCTCCCTTTTCTCTCGCCTCGCCTCTCTCTCTCTCCTCTTTCTCTCGCTCGCTCTCTCCTCTCTCTCCTCTTTCCGCGCTCGGCTCTCTCTCTCTTCCTCTTTCTCTCGCTCGCTCTCTCTCTCTCCTCTTTCTCTCGCCGCGCTCTCTCTCTCTCCTCTTTCTCTCGGCTCGCTCTCTCTCTCTCCTCTTTCTCCGCTCGCTCTCTCTCTCTTCCTCTTTCTCTCGCCTCCGCTCTCTCATCTCTCCTCTTTCTCTCGCTCGCTTCTCTCTCTCTCCTCTTTCTCTCGCTCGCTCTCTCTTCTCTCCTCTTTCTCCTCGCTCGCTCTCTCTCTCTCCTCTTTCTTCTCGCTCGCCTCTCTCTTCTCCTCTTTCTCTCGCTCGGCTCTCTCTCCTCTTCTCTCTCGCTCGCTCTCTCTTCTCTCCTCTTTCTCGCGCTCGCTCCTCTCTCCTCTCTCTACACGCTCGCTCTCTCGCCTCCTCTCGCTCGCTCTCTCTCTCGCTTCTTTCCCTCCCCTGCCTTCTCTCGATGTCTCTGCTCCCCTTTCTCCTCGCTCCTCTTTCCTGCCGCTTTTTCTCTTCTCTCTCGCTTCTCATCTCTCGTCTCTCGCGTCGCTCTTCTCTCTCTGCTTCTCTCTCTCCTTTCTCTCTCGCTTCCTTCTCGCTGCTCTCTCTCTCTCCTCTTCTCTCCTCGTTTCTTTCTCGCTGCATCTCTCTCCTCTCTCGTCTCTCTCTCGCATCGGCCTCCCTTCTCTTCTCTCTCTCCTCTGCTCTCTTTCGCTTCGCGCTCCTCTCTCCTCTCTCTCTCTCTTCCTCGCCTCGTTCTCTGCTTCCTCTCTCCTCTCTCTCCTCGCCCTCGCTCCTTCCCTCCTCTTTCTCCTGCTCTCCTCTTCTCGTCTCTCCTCTCCTCGCTCTCTCTCCTCTCGCTCGTCTCTCGTCTTCTCTCTTTCTCTCCTCTCTCCATCTTTCTCTTCTCTCCTTCTTTCCTCTCTCCTCTTTTCTCTCTCTCTCCTTCTCTCTTCTTCCTCTCTCTCTTCTCTTCCCTTCTCTCGCTCTCTCTCTCCTCTTTTTCTCTCGCTCTTTCTTTTCAGGGCCACTGACAAGGATAGAAATAACTTGTTTAGCTTTGCAGCAAAAAACGTTTAAAAATCCATCAATATAAGTGAACCGGGGAAATGTTTCAATCGCCGCACGGATATTAATCAGATTGTTCAATCGCTGCAGGTGATATTTAATTCAGCATGTTTCATTAACAGCGGATCTGTCCTTTAATTCATTTCATATGATCTTGCCAATATATATATATATATATATATATATATATATACTATATATATATATATATATATATATATTATTTTATATATATTTATATATATATAGATATATATTTAAAAAGGTTAATATAATAGATAATTATTATAATATATATATTTATATAATATTATATATAAATATCATATATATATTATATTTATATCCTTTTTAAAATTAGCGCTCGCATTAAGGAAACTATTTATTAACAGAAATGTTCTTTTCTGAAAGATGGCCAGTTTAATTGTAAAAAGGGGGAAATATAATTGTGCTATTATATGTTAAAACTTTGTCTTTTATATTTGTATATTCACTTGTAAATAGGGATAGTCAAAATTTGTATCATAGTCTCTTGTACACCAAGTAATATTTTTAGATATTGAAATCATCTTATTCTTTGGCTTCATTAGGTGAATAGTTTCTTCCTAAAACCCTCATGAAAATGAATTCCTAGTTTGTCATCAGTTATTTCAAATGTATTTCCAATGTTTACAGCTGGGTGTTCAATGCTAACTGAAGAGTTGGTATGAAAATTTCTGGCCATGTAAAAGTAGATTCATGTATCCTTGTCTTCAATTGTTGTGCCCATACTATATTTTAAAAAATTACTTGGGGCATGTATCATTTATACTTTCATCTATATCATCTGCTTTTTGAAAATATCTGCAGAATATTAGAACAACTTTGAAGTCAACTGTCATGTTGTTCCTATTGAAACCTGATCTTGCACTTATCTTTCCAGGTATCACAATATCTGTATTATTCTGGGTTAAATACACTAACACAGTTATTTTCTAGTGTTTGAAGTAACATTACAGAGCAAATTACAAGGAATTCAGAATGCATATGTCAAACTTGCCACTACACACCAAATTCTATGTATAAAATTTTTAAAGATTTGACAGAGACATTGAAGCTTATACAATGTTCCTTCCATTTTGTAATGTTTTTATAGTTGGTTCATTTTGAACTGCACTTGTATATAATTTTAGTGCCAAGAGGCAAGATTTTGAGTGACAGCCATTTTTCTGCAATGACACCTATGACATCTTTATTTGTATATCAGAGATTTTATGGAAAAAATTTTTCTATACATGAAAAAATTAGGAACCAAATGCATAACATTCAACTATTCGGTGCAGCTGTTGGTCCTTATTTTAACAAGTCATTAAATTAAAAAATGTTGTTCCTTCCCTAACCTTTGTTTTTAACTTACTGTGTTAAAAATAATTTTGTTAGCTCCCTTCATTCACTTTGTAAAATTATTGCATTCAACTTGGTGTTCATTGACTTTGATCACTTTTACAGTATACAGAATTTATTATACATTTATTTACAACTCACAGGAGATCATAATAGAAGGTTCAATTATATATTTTTTATTAAGAAGTTTTCTCGTCTCTTCTTTCTTTTTCTTCATGTACTACAGTGAATTCTTTTTAACTGATAACTTCTAACTTGCAATTTCTAATTTAAATTGTGAATAGTTGTATTTTATTACCCTTCTTACAGCATGAGTTACATTAGTTACATACAGTATATTGCAGTTGCAGTTATTGAGCCTTTCTTTTATGAAGAGCTAATGTCAAATATCCTTTAAAAGCTTTATCTTGCAGTATGTGGAATACAAATATTTAAAACATTCTTTTCTTTATAATTTATATTTGTGCCTCTTTGTTATATTCTCTTGAAGAGAGGAATGATATCTGTAATGAAAACTGTTTCGGTTGAGATAATTTCTCACACACAATGAAAATTAGGATTTAAAGGTAATTTTGCCTGCAGTTTCAAGTGAATCTTAATTACCACTAGTGATGCAGTGATATCTCGCATAAATTCCTCAATTATTTGGCTGCTCTCAGTTTTAGAAGACTGCAATTTATTTAACCTTGGAATTTCTAGAAAGGCCTACTAAGGTAGATGTACAGGAAACTTTCTTTAACTTATTTCATTTGATAAAAATGGGCTTTCCAGACTGTCGCATACAAAGCATTTAAATTTTAGTATCAGAACAGTAGTGATTGTCCTCCCATTATTGTGTATTATGTACTTCACTTTCACTGAAAAAGACACGTAAAATGATTGTTACTCAAGAATCCTCATTGGCCTTCTTAAATCTCTTGATTATGATATCATTCTGAATCAACTGTGGAACATTTTTCTACACAATGTCCTCATTGCAATTTTCAATGAAAGTCTTTATTGGTGGGCTGGATTCAACTTCTCGATGTGCGTAGTGATGTGCTACTATGATTGCAGGTCGCCGCCAACAAGGAGGTCAAGCTACAGGTCGGAGAGAAGTGGAGGAGGGCGAGGGGAGGGAAGGTCATCTCGCTCCTCACGTTCTCACAGACACCATTAAGGGGCAGACTGCAATTACAGTGGTTTCTTGCTCCTTGCAATGGCAAGGTTTGTGAAGGACAGGTGCTCTACTTTGTTTCCTTGTTCAGGAGTGGCACAGAATAGTATGTGTGTTTGCTACCTTAGGTAGGTTGGTAGAATGATCAGACAACTTATGAGAGTTGAAAGTTTAGTGTTCTGTTGAGTTCTCAGTAATTTACTAGTTTCTTGTTAATGTTATCATTGTTTCAATATTCAGTAAGACAAATTTAATATTGATTTGACATTTTGACCAATTTTCTTCAACTTTTTAATGTTTGTATATGCCCCTCGCTTAATTTGAACATTTTGTTAACAAGGTTTTTGTGTGTTTAATTGAATGGGACCGAGAATTGTTTTAAAGAAAATGTATGCTTGATGGCGACTTAACACACTACAAATTTGTTGGAAAACTAGTAGTTAGCATTGTACTTTTGTTCAAGAAACAATCTCAGTGCTATCTGTGAATGAGGAAAGATGTAAAATGTTATTTACCAACCTTCCTGTGCCATAATTATCTTAATCTAACCTGTGAACAATACCATTTATAAGTGTTTAAGAATAAAAGACCAAATAAAAAAGGCTGCTATCTGAAGAGGAATATTGTGCAATTAGTTTAAATTAAAGCTCTTGGAATTGTTCATGTGTAAAAGATTCTATTTGTAATATGTGGTGTATTGTTAACAAAAAGTCAAAGGATGCTTTGACTTGGAATTATTTCTTATTTTTTCTTAATCTTGAAGCTTACACTCAAATTTTTCTCATTTAGACATTTTGAAAAGTTGTAAACCAACAATATAAGAAGCTCTCTATTGATGCTTGTTTCAAAGCAACAGAAATATTTTGCATTTTCATCATTAATTAACTCTGGTTTGATTTGGGAAGTTCCTTATCTTGCAGATTAACTTTTGTGTTTCAGAAAATATTTAATATTCTCCTCATTTTAATAAAAAATTCTCTTGTTTTCTTTGGTGTTGAATTTCACCACTAAGCTTAAATTTTCAAAACCTTTTACTTGACATCACGCAGTAATGAACAGAAGACGTTTCCAAACAATAATTCTAATGTTATGTATGTTTTTCATGATAGTCGAATTAGATGGAACCATTTAGTAAACAAAATTTGTAAGCTGTATGTGAATGTGATGGAAGAATTTTATGAAATATCTTGTGTAACTGTAGTATGCTTCTTCTGCTGGGTGGATTCACAATCATACCTTCTTTTTTTAATTTTTTTCTTCTGTTGCTTCGCTTCAGTTTATTTTGGAGAGGTAATGAAAAATTCGGAATGGATGTTAAATCTATTGACAGTCTTCCTCACAGATAGTCAAAATTATTAGTTCCTTAATGCAGTGTTATTAAATTGCTTTGTCACAAAAATGGAAAAATTGAGAGGTAGTAACATGTGTATAGCAGAGCAACTTTTACATTGTTTAAATTTTACTTTTAACTGTGTAAATTCAAGAATTTTGGAACATGTTACTGACTTGCCCTGCAGGTTATTTTGCAATATTTTTTTATTTTTGAAGGATTTTGATGTGCAAATTACAATATTTTTCAAAATTGATAGAATCACAGTATTGAATACAGTGGATCTGAAATTTAACAGCACATAAAATGCAATGGGGTGAGATGATACAGTGTACATTAATAAGCATTAATGTATAAGGAATTTCGTGTGGCCCAAATTTTTCAGTCTTTGAGGGCATGTTTGACAATAGAATTTTGCAGAGAAAATTTGAGTTGCAATGATTTCACCACTATTGCAGGAATAGGAAGACAATACAGAAACATAAATTGAGAGTGCATGCTGACTTGCTTCATTTATACTGTTTTGAAACATTGTATTCAGTTGATGTTAGAAGTACAGTAGTGTGTTTCAAAGTTGTATCTGTTCAGATCTCCTAGATGTTAATGAAACTTGTGCGTGACTGTGTTATGCTCCTCAAGGAATTCTTGAATACCAAAGGACTTCTGAAGTATAGTGAAAGAACTGAATAAGTTTATCATTACAATAATAATTTTTGTTATTATCTTGTCTAAATTTGCTTATGAAAATCTTTTGTGTGTAATAGTGCCAGTTGCACCAAACTTGATTTAACTAAAACTGTCACTGTTGGTTTTGGATATACAGAAACAGCCATGTAATCTGACCTGTATATATAAAATTAAGAAAATTAAAAGTATTTAGTTAAACATAAGATGATGTATGGGAATTGGAATTTATCATGCCTATAACATCAGATTTGACAGTTGAAACGCAAAAACTGGTTGTTTCTGTAGAGGAATTTGAACTTTCACCACTAGCTGCATTTTTGATTTGAAAAGTTCATTATTATAAATTATATTCTACACACGCATTCAGGACATTCTAGTATCTGTGTTGTGTCTTGTGATATTTCAGAAGAAGAAAAAAATGATTAACAAAAGATCATAAGAATAAGTTATGAAGTGCAGTTTGCTTTTGTCAGGAAAGTAAGAAATGAGACATTACAGTTTTATAGAGAAGAGGTATGAAACAAATACAATACTTACAAGTATATCTTTGTTGAAAGGCAGTCACTGTTGTAAAGGCAGTAAATTTTATCTTAGGAGTTCATTTTATACTAGATGAGTGAAGGCAAAAATGGACAGAACAAAGATCTAGAAGCAAATAAAGGGACATGTTTCCCAATCGTAGTAGTAAAAAATGTGATGCCCCAGATTTACAAGCAAGCTGTTCTTCTAAGGATATAGTTCTCCCCTTAAGTAAGTTAGAAAGGGGATATGGCACATTTCTTTTATATGTAATCAGGCCCTGGAAGGCAAATAAAGATGGAAAAGACCATGCAATTTTATTTTGTTTGTGAATTATCTGACATGCTGATTTCCAGTTTCCTTCCTAGAGTAATTTGTTAACTCCATTTATTCTTATTCTTAGTTGCTTGGTAATATCAGTAGAAGTATATTCAATGCTTTTAAACAATTTCCTTCCCATTTCTCATCTATTTTCTTGTCCAAAAGCAGTGCTTCAAATTCAATGACCTTTTCTAGACATGATACATAGCTTCACTTGGTTGAAATTTTGTTGAGCTGTCCTTTTTCTTATTGTGGTGGGAGTAGAGTCAGGGCTGTTAGTTGCCATTTTGTTAGCAATACTATAAAAAAACATCCATTGTTTGTTTACCGATGCAAATACATTTTCTGTAATTCAAGGTTTCCGTTTCACAATATAACTTGGTGTAGTAAAAGGGTGAGGAAGAGCTTTTGTAACTCAAGAAAACTTGAGTGTATTTTGCTTCTCCCCAAAACATCACACGGTTTCGGTTTTTTGGTGAAACCTAATTAAATCAAAATGTGTAATAGGAAAAGTCAGATGCAAGTCCATACCACATAAACTCTAATATAAGCTGAGGTTTTTTGTTGTTTTTTCCTAAATGTCTCTTGTGAAAAATAGTAATAGTTTGCATAGTAAGTCTGTATTGGAATCTTGTTTTAACAGTGCATTTCCCCACCAATAAACTTTGCCACTTCAATGAGTACTTTTGCTGCTTCATCACAAAGTATTGAATCTGAGATGAAAATGTTTTGCATACAATGTAATCCAGATGGTAGGTACTGAAAAAAGGGGGTTATGTGGAAAAATTCATTAAAACTTGTTTTTTGAGTATGTTGTATGAACTCGAGTACTAGTTAAAACTCCCCAAGTTTTCATCTTCCCAGACCTTGTTTAACTCCAGAAGCCCAAAAAAAACACAGGCCCCAGTAATATGGAGGCTGGCAGGTCCCACCACTTCGTACCAATCTATAGCTTTTTTGTTATTTTCTGTATCTCCCTTTGCACCTGTGTTTTCCTTTTATACAGATTTAGAAAAAAGTATATGCCGAAGAGGAAATTTTATTTGGTTGTGGCCACTATACCCTCAGTGCAAATTACACACGATGTGTACATTGCCGTAAGTACTTCCAATGTAATATTTTCCCAGTAATGTGCACTAGGTTTTGCCACAGGAAATGACATTGTTCCTGTGTGGAAGAGTTCGGCTGAAAGACGAACACACATACACATTATTTTCATTTATATAAGTAATGTTTTTTTTGTTTTTTTTTCGGCAATTGCTACATTAATTATGATGCAATATTTACACCAATGGTGATTGCATGTAATTATACATACATCTATTAAAGGTGGGTTATAGTATCTCAAGTTGTAATACAGCAGATTTTTCAAGAGGAGGGGGAGGGGGTCCTGATGCCGAAGTAGTGTATTGTGGGGTTCTAGTTCCATAAAAGTGGATAAATCTCTCTCCTTCCATACATTATTTCCTCTAACAAGTATAGACTGAATCCAGTATTGTGTACAGTGACTGAAAAATTGGTTTACAGCAAAACATCTCGCCGATGTTGCAGCCCCTTCAATTTGAAATGGATATTTTGCGTGTGGTCGATCTTTTGCATGAAGCTTTAACATGTCCTTATGATGGGCACCAAAAGTTTGACAAGTTAAAATGAGTGGGGGCTAAAACAGCACGTACTATCTCCCTCACTTTCGTGCAAAATTACGCGAAAAGTTCTCAAATTTTTGAAAAATTGTACATGACATTATTTCAAAATATATCTTTAAGGGGGGGGATTCTTCATAATTTTTTAATAATGAACTTTTGCAATTCTCGAAAAATCACGGTTTTTAACGAACATGCTACTTTCACACTTTTCAAAAACATTCTTTTTTTGAAAATTTGCAAAATGTGCCATGGGCTACATGTAAAGTAAGTTTTACTGTCATTCAAATTTTCAGTGCCGTGGACCCACAAAACTTGGATTCTAGCTATACTATGTGATAGGGGATCCCCCACCAAAAAATTTAGCAATGAGATTTATCCACTTTTCGTTACCAGGGCCCTGTAATAAGTCCCCTCCAGGAATCCGCATCTGCGTGGACCCACCTTGTTGCTTGAACCATTGTTCTGGGCGTTGATGCAATACTGTAGACACAATTATGTGTTAAAAACCGTAATGTGAATAGAACCGACGTGAACGATATAAAATAAACTCTTCACAGGTGGATATTTGACAAATTGTTTTGTAACTTAGCAAAAATGCCAGTCCTCGGCAATTACCAATTTTTGTCGTGAACTTTGGAGATGATGTTCCATAATAAGTGATAATGTACAAACTAAACTAACGGTCACTTCATACTTAGTATGGGAGTGGGGCAAGCCCACAACCCAATTAACACCGACGTGAACCAGGAGTCTATAAAGACACTCCCAGCTGTGGACTTAATATCCAATATGTAATCCCTTTTGCAACCCATTGGAAAAAATCTTAGCCATGTTTAGAAAGCAACATTTCTGAATTGTGTTAGGGTGCAATCATGGAACAAAATTGCATGGTCAAGAAAGAGGATCAACCCTTATAGTGTGTGGTGCACCCAGCAGGAAATTGGTTACCAAGGAAGAATTTTGTTTCGTGTTACTTTTCCACTACCAGGATACTACTCTGCCATATCAAAGAACAGTAGAGCAGTCTTTCAATTCTTAAAGAGGATCTGCCTTTCACTCATCAGGTCAGCTGCCCTGCCAATTCTCAATAATTGATTCTGTATCTGGAAGAAAAAGACTAACAGAAGCAATGTAAATTGTGTTAATTGCATTTTTTTAATATTGAGAGTTCTTACATGAAATTGTTTTGAATATTTTTGTTTAAATAAATAGCATAAATCGGTACAGTTAAGGTGATCGTCATCTCTTATGGAAACTAAAAGATAATGACAGCTAGACAATGAAACTTGTATTGATTCAAGACAAACTTCTCTGAAGAATGCAAAGTGAGCACTGATAGAATAAAGCAAAATTAGTTAAAATTTAACTTTTAAATTACCTTAATCGTAATAGTATGTAATATAACATGCCAAGTCTCTTTTCTAAAAATTGTATCAACCAATAACCAAATCACTAAAAACATTGTTGCTGTAACCTCCAAAACTTCAAAGGAATTCAAGCACTTTGAATGTTTCTCTCGTAGTTTACATAAAGTATTTAATGATCCTGCAAAATGTGGATTGATAAAAGTAACAGTACAAAATACAAATATTAGAAAACATTGGTTTCTCACTATTCGAGTCCCACCATCTCTGACATTTCTCATTACTAGAGCATGGAAGATTTATGCTTATATATTATACAAAATATGATCTTATCATGAATTTAAGACTTGGCAATAAAAATCACTTTAAACGTTCTTCTGGAATTGGTTTACAAGATTTTCATTTTGCTTTTTTTTTTTTGGCCTTTGATGTTTGTTTTAAGTTAATTGACTTATTTTGTTAACCTCTCTTTCTTCTTCTGGGACAATCTTAATTCAGTAGAAAAGTTTAGACAAGTGAGCAATGTTCCATTTTGCCCTTGTCTCTGCAGGGGGAGGTGCAATATCATCCAGTAATGTACTTAAGTCCTATAATAAGGAAATCTCAAAAACCACTGGAACACAGCATGACCATTATGCAAGGACTCCTGATGTCATTGCATTATGAGAAAGATTATATACCCAATGAAGATTTTTAGATTACTTCCGCTGATGCCAACTATCATTCTTCAGCCGGGGGAACACATCCAACACGAGTATGGTATCTGATTCCTTTCAAAATTATTTTCACCATGAACATTATTCTTTTCATATAACATATTTAACATTTTTATACTGAAGTAACTACAAAAATTTTCATTTTGCCAGCTGAACAAAAAAAAAAGGCCTGAACATCCTACTTCTTATAAATCAGTTTATCACATAACATTTAAATGCAGATGTGTTTTTGAAAAGAGAACAAAAATGTATGCTTTAATATCAATTGTGATTTCAATAAATACAATTAGCTTGACTAGAAGTTGACCAGCATTGCTGAAAGTTAACGATATATAAATTAGTCTTTATTATTTTTCGAGATGTTACCACAGAAACTTTCAGTGTTAACATCTTGTGTAAGCCTTAGCAAATATCTTCAAAAATAAAAAGTTGAAAGGATGAGATCATACTAATTGAAAAGATCTTAACAGTTGTAGTTAGAATAAAGGCATTGAAATTTTGCACCAGAACTAAAAATTATAGATGAATAACATAAAATTAGCGGTTGCAAAATCTCAAGAGCAGGATCCATATAGCTACAATTTCATATTAACTGTAGGTTATTGTAAGTGAAATATACAAAGTTTTAAGGAGTCGCCCATAACAATTTAAAAGTCTTTAAATTTTGGCGATAACAAATAATCAAGGATTAAATTTAATTTTAAATAATAATCTTTAAAGACAAATTTCATCTCTCGAAATAGTAAATAGACAGCGTAATCCTCTGTTATCCTAAATACACATACAAAGCAGTTGGGTGCCAGTCAATTTCTCACTAATTTGAAATACTTGACAAGTAGGTTATAAAAGATACCAAGAATTGAATAAAATCACATTTATTGAAACATTTCCAAAGGAAGATTCTATTTCTCCATTATTTATGAAGAAAATTTCAATATTTTAGGCATTACCCAAAATAAAACCATGGAAGGTAACATTCATGTAAGTGACCAGCACACATAAGTTTTACGAACAGTCCTATTAATTTCCTTATGATTGTGTTATGCTGTTATTAAAACAGCCTGAGGCAAGTACTGAGAAGGAAATGAGAAAGGGATATGGTACCAAATATAAGTTGCACTTCAATTTAAAATACAAATGTATAATTAAATGACTGAAAATTAAACAAAATGTTCATTCTCAATCATTATAATTGAAGAATAGACACTATTTAAGACGCCCAGCATAAATAGTAGCGCTACTTCACTTTCCTTGAAATTTACAAAAATTGCACTCTACACAATGTAAAAACAAGCACATTACATTTCAGTCATGCGCATAAAGTACTTGGATATTGCTATATTACAAAACAATTTTGGATAACCTTAACAACTTTATAATATTGCTCTCGGATGCTAGTGTCTTGAGTAACATACAATTTGCAATTGGAACTATTATAAATCTGTGGATCAATTTAACAAGTTTACAAGAAATGCAGAACTTACAGGTATCTGGGTACATCTTTCATTTTTAGAACCGAACATCTTTCTTCTTGTACAGATGTTTTAGCAGATACCCAATCCCCTGATGATGTTATAGAATAATCTTGTTTTATACTTGTTGGAGAATATGAATACATCTGAAGATTTTCTTCACAAGTCTCTCCATATTCTTGGGATACATCACCAGAAAATGACATATTTGATACTTGACGTCCCATGGGAGCAGCAAATGCCTGAGTTGCATTTCCATCTCCTACATCCATATCCATGCTTTCTGAATTCCAAGATCCAGTTTCGTTTTCTTCAATTTTCCCAGTTTTCTGGCTCTTATAAGACTTCTTACTATTTAGATCTCTCTTTTTTCGAGGTTTATTAGAGGTGTGGTAATCCATTTTCTCCATAGTTTCCTGAGTGATACTTGATATCCGTTGACTTGCCAGCCTTGCACTGTTTCTACCCATACCCATACATTTTGCTAAATGCGGAGCGAATACCTGAGCACCTAAGTTTCGATTACAACTGGGGCAAATACATTTAGGTGTCATTATTTTTTTCAACTGTTTCTGACCGAAAATGTCCACACTCTCTTCGTCCACTATATAAAAGTTATTGGCTTCTTCAGTAATGGTATCTTCGCGATCGAAAAATCCCATTTTGGCAGCTCTATGAACTTCAAACACAATACCCAGAGAAAGGCTATCCACTAAATCATTAATAATTGAGTTTGCAGCAGCGTCCAGGTTCCTATGGTTACTTAGAAACGAACTAGCCTCACTGCTCCATCCAATTACGTTTTCTCCATTTGATTCCATTTCTAATTCAATTAAAGTTCGCGAAATACATAAACTGCATTAAAACTTCCACGTGTTTGCACTTACGAAGACTAAAATAAATTTCACTCTTCAGTACAATTTAAAAACACACACAAACAACTCGGCACTAGTACGTGCAGGACGAAATATTCCGCTAGGGGCGCCAGTTTTATAACCATCTCAAGCCGGCAACACAGCCGCGCGATTTGATTGCCACGTCACTTCATTAGTCAATCGGTTTTTATTAGCATACGTTTCCTATAGAATTGAGTAAATTTTAAAACGCTATGATTGTATTATACAAACAATACACTTAATTTTGATTCAGTATAATTTTTTATACAATGGGAGCAAGGTTGCTTCTTAATAACATCTGACAGTGCTACAAAGAGATATGGCCTGCATTGCAACAAAAATTAAGGTAATAAGAAAATTGTTAATTCTAAGATGACAAGTTGTCATTAAAATTTGAAGTGAGTTTTCCATAGCTGCAAAGTTAAATATAGAATTTCAAGAAAATGAACTTAAATGACAATATGTAGAGAACACAATACAGATCTTTTTATTGTATGCATTTTTTATACATTCTATTAAAATAAGTTGTCACAAAAATATTATTCTCACTTTTGTATATAAATAATATAATTTTGATTTTTCTATATTAAAAAACCACAATCACTTTCCCCTTTTCATTTTCTGATAAAATTTATAATAGGGATTCGTAGCTGTACAAAATTTTTTCCCATAGAATTGAACATAAAAAAAGGGTTTTCAAAAACATGCTTAATTCATGTACTTTATAAGCTGGTTCAGATTATAGAAAACCATTTGATTCTTGTTGAAACCAAAAAAAAAAAGAAGTTTATTAGTTAAAGACTTAAAGAAAACAACACACATCAAGAGATGTGTCAAATCTCAAAAATTAATTTAGCAGGAAAACAATATTTTAATGAAATTATTACTAATAAAACATATTATTAATTTATCTCAACTATGATGATTTTTGCGAAGTGACTTTTCTTGACCTCCATTTAATATGGTAACATTGTAATTATTGCACACACAAAAAAAAACACATTACAAAACCCTAGTCTTTTAACCTCATTACAATGCCAAAGACAAATCTGAAAGAAAGATAATGGTATCTTTTGCTATAATATTGACAATAGACATATAATCACATATAATATAGACTATACTCTCTGTATTTCCTTTAAAAAAATAATTATAAAAGTAAATACATGTCCACACTGGACATTTACCTTGATTCATAATTAACTACAATATACTGTAACAATACTAAAATTATGTATTCCTTTAACATTAATTTCTTGAAATGAAAAGTTTGTACAGGTCAGTCATCTTCAAAGGAATTGTATTAAAATCTGTAGGAATTAGCATCTGTACCTGCAATTGAATAAAAACAAAACGTTTCCTTACTCTGTTACAATTTCATTAATATCCTTGAAGGGCTCTAGTTCCGCAAGGATATAATGCTCATCACTTATTCCTATAACATCCCTAATGCGCTCAGAGATCTCCAGTATTTTGTTTTCTTCATTCTGTAGCTCCAATGTTTTCTTCAAAATTTCAAGTTCTTTCCTTTTGTCACGCATTTCTTTGCCAGCCAAAAATACAGAGAATTTTTTTAATGTGTCATTTCGAACACTCATTGTTCACTGCCAAAAGAAATACGCAACACAAAACTTTCGAATCGAGAGTGCTTTACAATTCTTATTGAAATCACTACACGTTTCTACCGTATATAATTACACACATTCGCACACTTACACTACCTTGCGTATAATACACAGAGCCCTCACAGCAGTGATATCATAAATAAATATTACGATTTACCTCAATTCCCGCCAAATTTCCAAAAGTAGGCTCTGATTGAATCGCGATGGCGTGCGCACTGTGCATCACGATCTTTCGTTACTCTTCTCCTTGACTGCTACAAAACAATTTACCACAGAGATTGCATGCACACAGTGGGACTGCTTGAAAACATAGATGTATTTGAAAATATTCACGAGAAAGATTTCTATTTTCAATTATAATGTATAAAGTTTTTGATTTATTTATGTATTTATTACATTAAAAAACGCATATGTGTACAATCTCTTTACAGAGAATTTTTACAAAGTTTTACAAATCTTTACCAAGTTTTTTATCAATTTCAGACCCTACAAGTGTAGCCAGGTTGAAATGATTTTTAGATGATTTAAAATCAACTTTAAAGAAATTATCTAATTAGTTTCGCATGTGTAAATTTTGCATTTTCTTATTGTAAACTTACCGGGGATTTTAGTGCGTAACGCAGATCGTATAGGTGGTTTTATTATTGTACAATAATGTGGAGTTTTTATTTAATTAATTAAAGAATCTGTTGATGAATTTAATTGAACTGTTTAATCGTGGAATAACTATTGAAGAAATATTTATGTATCATAAATACCATTATTTCATAGCGTATTTTGCGTTCAGGAGATTTTCTTCCCGTTAAAACGAATTTGTCATTTTTATTTTATTTCGTCCATGAATGAATGGTGTTCTGTTTCGTTTTTATGATTGTACCATAGATGATCATCCATCTATTCATCCACGATTGTACTTTCAGTAAACATCTTCCGGCCGCAGTAAACACTGTGAAAAACGATATTTATGATCACTACAAATGGTATTTACTCACACCTGTTATTTCTTCGAAATAATTTTAATTCATATTTCAAAACGTTTAGTTCATGAAAATGAAAGTTGTGCTAGTAAATTAGTAATTGATTTCTGAATTTTTTACTTACATTCATCACATCGGCTCCACTGTGCGCGTGGACTTTGCCGCCAAATTCCATTGCGCGTGACATGTGCGACATGTGTATGAACTGATGCGAACTATCAACGCAGTAATATCGTTTGCTGCATGGTTTGGAAGTATGCGTTAATTAGTATTGAAAGCAGTGACTTCAGAACACAGGAGAGGTTGTCATTTTCTTCGTACCTGTGGTGTGTCATTCAGGTTTTTGTATTTAGATTTCGGTGGTCGTGTTTGGTTGTAATTTTGTAGGATGTCTGGTCAGAAAAGTATTTTGAATTTTTTGAAACCAGTTAGCTCTGTAAAGCGCCCATTATGTGAGGGTAATAATGCGAATTTCGGAAAATCAGAAGAACCGTTAGAAAAAAAAGTTAAGTCGAATGTGAACGAAGTGGGGGATAAACCCGCCGTCAGAAAGGAATGGCCCAACGAAATTATTGCAAAAATTAAGTTAACTTCTAGACGATATCAAGCTTTGCACATGAGTATTGGACATTCTTGGTTTAGGGCTCTAGAACCTGAATTTAAGAAAGATTACTTTATGAAGGTAAGATTACCAAATAATTTGATTTGAATTTATGACAAAGTACGGTTTTAGCCATAGTTAATATTGCATTTTCCCTGAAACACCGTAAATTTATTGTTAATATAGATTTCAATTATTGTTGCAGTTAAGTCGGTTTTTAGTTCAGGAACGTTCACAGAAGAGGATTTTTCCTCCAGAAGAGCATGTTTGGACATGGACTCAGAGGTGTGACATATCAGACATAAAAGTTGTTATCCTTGGGCAAGATCCATATCACAATCCTGGCCAGGCTCATGGTAAGGAATACTTTCACATTTTAGAAAGACAATATTTCTTTTTGTAAAGTTAAAATCTGTTTTAAAATATACATTTTTTATTCATATTTATAAAACAGTACATCATTATATTCATTTTTAAATAAAATCACATCCTCCTGAAATTAATCAAAATAATTCCCTAATGGGCTATTTAAATTTTCTGTACTCAATATATTTCCTCATTCAGTTGAATGACCTTTCCCTATATGTTTGGAATTGTGAGAACTATGTTTCTATAAATATAATTTCAATCTATTCCCTAAAATATTTGGATGTTGAATTTGTGGTTTGAAGAACAGATTTAATGACTTGAGCTTTGTCAGTATTTATTGACTCTCACATTGAAATACAATAGTGTATTATAAGACAGTTGTATTGTCTTTTGAACCGTCCTTTAGATTTAATTTCAATAAACTACAGTTCCCAATTTTTTTAGACAGGTATATTCTTATTTCAAAATTTTCTATTAGGAAATTTAAAATTAGAATATACCTGTCTAAAAAAATTGGGTTCTGTAGTTTATTGATATTACGAGACAGATTGGTTATAATACTAAATACCGATATAACAGAATAATAATAATAATAATAATAATAGTTATTATTATTATTATTATTATTATTATTATTATTATAAACTAGCAATGTCTTTAAGAGGAATATTAATGTCAACTATTATCAGAGTGGGGCAAAATACTTGAAAAAAGTATTTTAGATACAAAACAGTATTTTAAAATACTTTTGAAAATACAAAATACCGTACAACCAATTGTGGTTTACAATTGGACACATTTACCTTCAACACAAATAGCTTTTCAAACGTATCAAAAATGTTTCTTCTTGTAATTGTAGCTGATAAGGGTTTCATTGCATTGACATCGAATTTTGCTTGATCATTTCCTTTTTCCTGTGAATTGAAGACACCAGATGTTAAGCTTGTTTATTTTAACTTCTTGATATCACTATTCTCAGTGCTGTTCATTTTCCTTTTATGTGAATTTGAGCTTCTGGTCCACTCCTTTTTATAGTTCTCTAATTCACTCTTCATACTTAGAGAAATTCTCTAAAATGTGTAAAGAAATTATGAGTTCCGTAATAAAAATAATAATCAGTGAAATTCATTGTCTATTGTTAACCATTGTGTGCATTTAAAATTTTTAAAATAACTGCTTATTGATTTTGCTTTAAGTGTGTCATAAAATTTGTGGCCACATTGTAGGAACCTAACTTTTCAATAACAGTGAACTACATTCATACTAGGACAGCACATTTTGATGATGTATCAATTTCCACACTCGTATCGTGAGATTAGCTCTTTACACAGCTCAAGTACAAGCTTTTAACCAGTGCGCACTACCACCTTCCAGACTGGTGGCGATGCATAATCAAATCAGGTAAACATGCATAGTGAAGAAATCTGTATCCATCTGGCTCTAGTCGAAGCTTCGAGATTTTGGATGTTTGGGGTTCCCTGATACCAAAAAAGTATTTTTTTATTATTATTATTATTATTATTATTATTTTTTAAATGTCCATTTGTCTATGAGCCTTTGCGCCCAAACAACATGTAGGATATTTTCCAAAATGAATTTTCCCCGGTCGATCAGGCTCCACTCCAGTTGCTGGGATTCTTCAAAATTCTTCAAAATTTGGGGGTACTTTACACAAAGACCCCCGGACATTTTCAAAAATTTCTCAAAATCTCAAATTTTTTTCTTCAGATTTCTTGTAAAAATATTGTAAAATATACTTATAATGGTTGCGTAGGCCCGATTTTCGCAGTTCTGTCAATTTTCGAAAATTTAGAAATTTGTCGGGTGTCTTGCTACTACTACAAAAATTGAAGATGGGATGTTTCCTTAAAATAAAACTTGTTCTCTGTAGTGTGTTCTTTCATTAAGGACGTCTATATTATTTTGAAACTTGTAGTAGTTTTCGCACAATATTGCGTACAATGTGTGTAATTATAAAAACAACAAAACAAAGATTTCCTTCAAAGAAAGCCAATTTTTTTCTTTTGATTTTTGATTGGGATAGAGTTCAATTTACTCTAGGAGAGGATATATACATCAGTATGCTCTATTTTCTTTAAATTACAAAACATTTTTTACTTGTTTCTCGCGTCGTTGATATTAACATTAGCGGCGAATCGCTCACATTATTGCATTTGTAAGAACATGTGCTTTAAATAATTTATCTTCCTAATTTTACAAAGAAAAATGTCATTTGGGTCGTAGATTCTCATTTCTTTAATGCTTTCATAATATCATATCCGTTCTATTACGAAACAGAAAAATCAAGGACATTTTTCTAAAAAAGTACTAGCATATAGCGTAGCGATAGATAGCAGCATGCTGCCATTTGTATGTGATAATTCCGAATAGCTAGTCGAGCCCAAAGGAAATCCAAAACTAATACGAGAGATAATATACCCTGTCCGTCTGCCTGCCTTTTTGCCTGTCCGCATCCGCCCGCATCCGCCCGCCCGGAACATTAAGATTTTTAAAAACCTTTTTTAAAATTTGCGGATATTTTACATGAAGCCGGAACTTTTTTCATAATTTGCTCACAAATCGCTCAAAATTTTATTCTTTAAATTGTCTGATTGAAGAGAGTAAAATATTAAGTAGCATTAGGTCCGTTTTTCAATGTTAATTCGTAATTTTCGAAGTTGGAATGTTTTCGTTGAGATCCAACAAGTACAAAAATGAAGATAGAAATTTTTCCTACAAATAAAGTTTTTCCTCCATAGTTAGTTCTTTCATTAAGGTTATGTGCATTTTATTGAAACTTTTAGTAGTTTTAGTGCAATCTTGCATGCAATATGAGCAATTTAAGAAAATCGTATTTTCTTATTTCCAGATATAGATTTGAGTTTTTCCAGGTGTGTTAGTTGCTCTTTTGTAAGGTGGGGATAAAATAAATTGACATTTTTTTAAAAACGCTGTTTGTTTTATGACGTGTCAACAAACCTGGACAATAGATTTTTGAAAAAGACCCTAAACGGGGTAGAAACGTTAAGAAGAAATAAATTGTTATAAAAATTAGTGTTTTATTAAGCTCATTAAAATTATTGCAATAAAAAATAACACTAATATGTACATTAAAGAGTATGTAAACTATATGCAAATTAAAAGTATAAAATGTGCATTTGTAAATTATAGTCTTTGGTACAATTCTTCTATTGATTCTTCATGCAAATATTCTCAGGTGAAGTCACATACAAATTTTGTTTGTTTGTTTATTTAGCAATTTACAGAATTATTTTTTCCAGGCCTTTGCTTCAGTGTACCTGTTGGAATCCCACCTCCACCTAGGTAATGCATCAGATATTTAAATTTGTGCATGTAGAGTGTTTGTTTTGTCTATCATGAATTTATGAGTAATATGAAAATACTTGTTCTTGATCGTTTAGTTTAGTGAACATGTATCATGAGTTGGAAACTGATATACCTGGATTTGTTCGTCCTAACCATGGTTGCTTAGATGGCTGGGCTGAGCAAGGTATGAATTAATATTTAAGTGTTTAATTGTGCTATTAGCTTCAGAATCATGATGAAAAGACATGGCTGAGTTATGGCTCATCATATTTGACTTCTGCCAATGAGCTTCAGGCACCAGTTCATGTCATAATATTAGCAGGAATTTTAAATTCATCCAGGTACTAAAATTATCACCTTGTTACAATCCATTAAAGCAGTTATAAAGTTGTTGTTTGTATTATTATTATTATTATTATTATTATTATTATTATTTAATATTGCACATATTATTTTATTTATACCTTAATGATGTTATTTTTGTTGATCACCATTGAAAATTGTTAATTTTTTTTACCACTTTCAAAATGTTTCTCAACACCACTCGCTCTCAATGCAATATGACTGTCAGCCTTTGGCCTGTCTTTTCAAACTAAATTGTTTTATTGTGGTTTGTGATGTAAACTGGTGCTGCACAGAATGAGCAAAAATCTGTGCACCGGAACACTCACCATGTGTTTTAATCATATTCAGGAGGACCTGCAAACCTTGACAACTTTTAAAAAAATCTTAGAATTTTTTAGCTTTGGAAAAGAAACCTTTTTTTTTTTTGTCAAAAACCAGAAATGTATGTAGATAATATTTATTTAAATGTTTTATTTTCTTGTATATATAATTTACAATCGGCAATGCCTAGTGATAGACTTCAAAACTTACTCGTTTCCTCCACTTTGTGAATAGTATTTTTTTGCAAGCTAGAGGCTACAAATCATGCTGATATGTGTGGGAGAATTTTAAAATTACTTCTTTGAAAGAGAAATTAAATGTGAGATGAAAGGTAAATATGCATCCTAAAATCGCAGAATAACAAAAGAATTCTGCACTATTCACTTTTATCAAATATTCAATTAACTTGTAATTAACCCTCTTTAATTAAAATAATGAGTGTAAATAATATTTTTTTAAAGTTTTTTTTTCCCTCCACTTTTTTAAATTGTAACAACATTAGCAAATTGTTTTTATTCAAAAAATAAACCCTTTGTTGGAAAGACAAAAACTATGCAGAATATTACAACCTCAAGCATATTTCATATTTGTGAACCTGTGTGCAATGAATGGCAATCATTTCTGTATTTTATTCCCCAAACAACATCCTTCAGTGTAGCTTGGCTTGCAAGGAAATCAAAATAATTGATTACTTGACTAGAGGTTTTGTAAAATATTGCCAGATTTTGACTGAAATACGTGCTCAGGGAATTCTTGGTAAGTGAGAGCGTAGGCTTCCCTTAGCCGGAGTCGGTATTTACTAGGCTGTCCAGGTGACGCCGCATCCATGGCGAAGGTGCCGACGTTTCGGTCGCCTTTCTGCGACCTTCCTCATGCATTACGCCCTGAGGAAGGTCGCAGAATGGCGACTGAAACGTCGGCACCTTCGCCATGGACGTGGCGTCACCCGGACTGCCTAGTAAATAAATTCTCGTTAAGTGTTTTTTGTTATTCCTCCTTTTAAAAAAACTTAGTATTTGTCTACATAAACTCGACTTTTTAAACTGAACTATTTTTCAGCAATGTATAATCCCCAATTGATCTAGTTTGGCTTGAAATCTCTTATGTAAAAGTCAGATTTTACATTTCTAATTATAAGTTTTTAGTGAAAAAGGTTAAAATATTTTTTAATATCTCTTTTGTGAAACGAGTATTAACAGTGTTCTCTATATGCAAAAAGAATATTATCAACAAACCAACATGTTGACAATATACATTTCTATTACATGTATGCAAATTCTGCTAAAAAGATAACAAATTGGTGATCTCAGATAGAAGTAGTAGAGCTACACAATGGCACAGACTTTCTTACTAGTTAGTTTTCTTTTTTGGTCTGGGCCACCTTTTTTTGGACTTCCTACGTACTCTTGCCAGCTGCCATCTATCACCACTCAAAGTAAATTTTTCTAAACTGTTTTCTTAAATTTTGAAGTTTTCTCAAAGAAAAACTTTGTAATAATAACATTTTTAAGAAAATTATTATTATTGTAAGTGCGAAAAAAAGGGTCTACACATCATAAAAATCATATTCATCGGATTTCAGTATCTACAGGTCTCTACAAGAAATCCATATGTAATATATGTATGTTAGTTTACAACACATTGCAAGATGACATTAAACAGTTAAAATTGATATAGAAGTGTAAGTGGCAAGTAAAATCTTTTCTGGTGCAAAACTGTTTCGATGCAATTATTCTATATTAACCTTCAATAAGAAAAATTATATTTATTTTAACAATAATATAATGCATTCATTTACATTTGTATTATGTAATTTTAAAGACAGTGTGCCTGTAACATGTAATGTACTTTGTCTTTTAGATCAATGACCCCCCATCTCAATCAGGTTTTTCATCTAGTAGAGTAAATACTAAGATCGATCGCTCTTAGTTTTGCTTCTGGTCATAAAGCAAGCTTCACAATGCACAAGTTTTATTGAGCTCTTCTTTTGTTGCGTTAAGTGTGGAGCCAGGGCTTTGGATTGCTATCACTTACAGTTTCTACTGTTTTTGGTTGAAAAATAAATCAAATCAAAATCAATTGAGGCTCTATTCCATGGCTCAAGATGTATGTTTTATTTACGTTACGTTTTTTGCAGGAGTGCTTCTCTTGAATGCTTGTCTGACAGTACAGTGCAATGCCGCCAACTCTCACAGAGATCAAGGCTGGGAGCAGCTGACAGATGCTGTTATTCGTACCTTGAGTGCTCGCAATCATAGCCTGGTATTCCTTCTGTGGGGTGCCTATGCTCAAAAGAAAGCAGTTATTGTAGACAAGGTGAAGTATTTAATTTCGTAGCTTTGGATGGTGGTAGTGAAACTCGTTTTCACTTTTCATTGGATGACACTATAGGTGTTGTTTTTTGCCACAAGACAGATATTGCGCAAGGGAAGCCATAAGGACACAATCAACTGGCAGCAAGTAGTTTATCTTTGAGATCACAGATATCTGTCATTTTCTGAATGTTCTGACACCCAACACTCTCATTTAATTTCACCCACTGGTTGGACACGATGCAAAATCCATCAATCAAAATTTTGAAGTGCTATGAGGATATAAAATATTTTGTTTCTTCACTTCAATTGCAACATCATATATTGTTCAGATTGGTAAAGTTAAGAGGGTGTCATTTTGGGTTAAAAACACTAGCACATTTCTCTAAGAATTACCAAACAATTATTCCTCTACTGTTGTGTCTTTGCCAGATACAGATGCGCATAGAGAGAGTGCATGATTTTGATATTCTTTCACAGGAATATTCCAGTGGAACGTTACTTTTCTGGGTTACAATGTGCTGTTGATAACCTCGGGATTATCTGCGTACTGGTTGCAATGGCACAGTAGCAGCTTTGCTGACGAGAAGACCCTAAGAGTCCTGACAGTGGCGAATAACTCTAGCAGCTGCTTTAAGCGGTAGTTTTTCGTGGTTTCTCCAATAGATATCAAAGGTGTGCTGGACCAATACCTTAGCAACCTGGGCTATGGACCACACACTAGCACACCTGCCTCATCAGTCTCTCTTCTCCCTTCATGCACACGCACACACGCTCTACATTACTGAATGTTGTGGTTTCAAGCTTGTCCCGACTGGAACAATCCCCTCGCTGAGAGAGATACGTGAGGAAGGAAATGCCGGCACTAGATCGGTGTGTGATCTTGTGTTCTAGTGGGGAAGGGACTCCTCCATTTTCCAGGATATAAAATGCCATTGACCAAAGCTTACTGTGCTAATGACCAAAGTTGACACTCTTAGAAATGCTATATAATCCATTTGCATGGAAATGTGCATTGCGGTGTTGTATATGTTTGTGTGTGTGGTGGAGGTGTTTGTTTTGGTGGTGGAGGAAGCAAAAAATGAATATCTGTACATGGAATTAACATTTTAAGTTGATTGATTTCAAACTTTTGTTTTTCTACTTAAGGTTTAAGTATGTACAATCTGTTTATTTCTCTCAGCCTTGTTGATAATGTACCGGAGGTATTACCCAAGAATTTGACGAGAACTTCACGAAACTTTGATTGCCTTGCGATTTCCCAAAATTAGCATTTTACCTGTTCCCTGTTTTTATTTTATTTAATATTCTTTTTCCCATTCCTCTATATCCTGATTAGATTAATACTTGTGATTTTAGATCACAAATATTACATTCATTCTCATATGGCTACATATAACATCCAATAGCCTAGCCTTTCAGGATTTCTAGTACTATTCTCATTCTTTGTCATTGAGGAAGCAGTTTTCTTTTTTCATGGTGCCTGTACGTCTGTTTGATTTCACCAGAGCTGTTGGCTTGTGCCTTTTCTCCCCTTCATTCATTCACTTTTTTCCTTTTCTGTATGCATTTTGAAGGTCAAGCAGTGAATTGTTGACTGCCACAATAACATGTTAACATGTTGACTGCCACAATAACATGTTAACATGTTGACTGCCACAATAATCAAGAAAATGGTGAACCTTCTGGCCGAGCCCTTTTTATCCATCTATAGGATAGAGATCGGAACTTTACTAGATATCAGGCCATGAGAATCAACACTCGATTCACTTAGGTGCACGCCAAAATTATATTCTATACAGCCGTATATTTTATGCTCCCTTAACGTAACAATGATTTGAGAAGAGATTTTTTGCGAACCCTGCTCTTCATGGCTACTGAAACTCATTATGACTGACAATCAACTGTTGATGCTCAAAGCCATTCTGGTCATTTCAGTGAGCATCATGTTATGCTACTCACAGCAGCCAACATGTTAAGCCCTCTCTGAATTCATGATAGCAATTTCGGGAATGTTGTTTTATGTTGCAGAAGAAGCACCATCTCCTCAAAGCACCTCACCCTTCACCCTTGTCTGCGCATAGAGGCTTTTTTGGCTGCAAGCACTTCTCATCATGCAATCGCCTGCTGAAAGAAGCTGGAAAGAAACCTATTGACTGGAACTATCTCCCTCTTCCTGGGGAAAATATTAAGAAGGGTGTATCCCAAGAGTGTAGCAACAATTCATCCCAATCACCTAGTAATGATTCATCCCAAGTGTGTGAAGTAGATAAACCTTGAGATATTTGATAATATCTTTTTTTTGTTTCTTGCAAACAGATTTTGCTTTTTGTATACCAATTTTTCGTATCATTTTGCATCATGTAATTTTTAACGTGTGGAGTATAATGATTTCTTTTTGGGTACGCTTTGACAATGTGCCAATGAATTAGGTACTGATAATTTCTCTTATCATTCAGGTACTTGTTTTGTATGTTATTGTGCTTTTTTGTTAAAACTCTTTCATGTATGTAAGAGTTTATAATAATTGTTCATTTTTTATTTTTAATAGTCATGAATCAGGTTTGTTTGTGATGTTTTTCTCAAATGTGTTTTCTGATAACGTGCTTATGGAAATCCATTGGGTACTGATTGTTCCTCAAATGTTCGTACAAATTGTCCACCTTATTTTTGTAACATTTTATTGTCAATTCCAAATGTTGACTGTTGACTCAGGTGCTACGTACAAATAATTAATAAAATATATTTGAGTCATCCTTTTCAATTGCCTCTGTGTATTTTGTTTTACCTGCATAGTAAAAAAAAGTTGAAAAGTGGTCCAAAAAGTTTCCAGCCTCACCCATAAATCACGGGGTGACAAGCATGATATTTGGCCCAAATGTTGGTACAACTGTAAGAAAGCTCAACTTGAAATTTCAAATAACTCTTTTCGATGGTTGGCTGTACACAAGTGTTTGAATCTGGCATGGTGCAAGTAATCACATAAATGGATAAACTTGTATTGTGCAGTGATATAGTCGTTCGTAAAAGAGGGTTTCACATCAACCGAAATTCATTTCAATCATCAAAAATGTATTTTTGCATTGATATGTGACTATAGATGAAACTTGGATTCACCATTACACATCAGAGACAAAGCAACAATTCAAGGAGTGAACAGGAGCTAAAGAAGTCTGTTCTTTAGCTCCAAAGGCAAAGACGGTATTATCTGCAAGAAAGATCATGGCATCTGTGTTTTGGGATGTAAAAGGCTATCTCTATCAATTATATTCAAATAGGTAAAACAATAACGGGAATCTTATTCTAACCTGCCAAAATTCATTGAGAGCGACATGATCTTCAGAACAAAACAAATCATCTTCCATCAGGACAGTGCTCCTGCCCCCAAAAGTGTTTTGGAGCTGGGAAAATTTAGAGAGTTGCATTATGAAGTGCTGGAAAATCCACCCTATTCCCCAGATTTGGATCCCTCTGTTCTCAAAACTCAAAATGTACCTAGGTGGTCAGCGTCTACCTTTTTTTACCAGGGGAACTGTGGAAATCTTCAACAAGACAGAGGAGCCTGTACTTCTCAACAGTGTGAGATTTTTAGCCACTAAAACCACAAACTCTTTATGTTCCTGGTGTTATCCACCCTGGGACCGCAATTGTGCATTACTTCAGGATGGCCAGTTGTATTATTTCGAGGTACTATTCAGGTTCAGCTATGACTGGTTTCTTTCGTCTTCTTCCTTCTTCTTGAGAATGGCGGTGATATATATCTCTATTGCAGTCCACTCCTTGTTACAGATCATTAGTGTAACCCTGTTTCCTGGTGAGACATTACACCCGACCTCCCTTATCATGCAATGCCTTAGCATGTTCCATCTCGGGCACTGGAGCAGTGTGTGTTCTGCGTCGTCCACTTCATGGCTGCAGTAGAAGCATATCGCGTCTTCTCTCTTTCTGAATCTCTTAAGGTATGCCTTAAAACATCCATGCCCTGTGAATGCGTGAGTTAAGTCCACCTGCCGGTCTCCTTTCTGTCCCAGCATTTCTGCCAGCGGTGCATCACGTTTTCTTTAGCTTTTTTAATTGCGCTATCCCTATCTTGGTGCGTTCACTGTCCGTTGCCTTCTTGCTCATGGGAGTAGTCGTAAACTTGTTTCCTTTCTAGAGCAAGCAGGTCAATAGGAGGGACGTTTGCAAGCAGAAGAACAGCACTTCCGGATACAGTTCTATACGGCGATGTTGTGCGTAGAGCTCCTTTCTTCTGGACAGACTGCATTTTCCTTCTCAAATTATTGTTTTGAAGTGGTTCTGCCCAGATAGGGGCTGCATTGAGAATTTTCGAGTGCATCACGCTCATAAGAAGTCGTCTCTTGTCGCTGGGGCCCCTGGTGTTCGGCATCAATCTTGAAAGCAATGCTGCTATTGTTATTGCTTTTTCGGGCGTCTCGGTCACATGTAGTCCAAAAGTTAGCTTCCTGTCAATTTCCATTCCTAGGTAGCGAAGGCTCTTGTATTTTTTCCTTGCCTATTAGGAATGTTGGGTTGGGGTAGGATCGTCTGTCCATGATGAGTAATGCT